TATATATATGAGATTGTGTATAATAAAGCCATTTACCTTTGATACAAGGTGGCCATAATTACTTACAATCATATGATGCGAAATTTGATAGCATGAGTGTATCACAAAGTTTTGAAAAAATTTCTTCTGAAGTTTAAGCTTGATCAATGGAATAAATGTAGCCATCTAATTTCATATCTAATGGTTACAATTAATTGTGACCACCTTATACCAAAGATAAATAGTCTTATTATATATTATTTCGATACACATTATCTTTGAGAAGTACGAAGTACCAAAATATGGTGCGATACTATTCAACTCCGAAGAAAATTAAGGAACGTGTGATAATATTCTTCTTGAAACTCTGTTGCTGGTGGAATGCTGTAAAATCTCAACTATTGTCTCGTCCAAATTTACACTTCAATACAATAAAAAATTGCTCCAAATTTTGTACTAATACCTATGACCTTAACTTTTCGATATAAAACCAAGTTCTATATGTGCCCTTGATTCTCTAGAATTTAGAGGCTCTTGGAGCCTTCACTTTTTTCAATTGATCTTCCCCCAAGGTTCCAATTGATACAAAGGAATTTTTATTAGCAATGCAATGCCTTTAGAAATTTCAAAACATAATCTAATTAGGTAATGTCAGACCATTTGTTTTTTGTAAATGGAGGTCACTCTCATTAATTAGATGTCAAATTGGATAGTTTGGGGTGAATCACAAAATTTGAAAAAAAAATTTCAGAATTTTATGTCTATTCAATCATATTCTTATAACCACCCATTTTGAAATTTAGCTAACAAGAATGATTGTGACTTCCATGTACAAAAGATAAATGGTATCTTTGTAGACAATTCCATCTAATGCAACACCTATGTAACTCTTCCAAAACTATTAAGGGAGTAAAAACGTCCCAATTAAAACTAGAGGGCATGCCTTTTAATTTTTCGTTTACTTGTGTACCTCCAAGAAAAAAATCATAAAAATGCCAAAATTCCGAATGTTCAGGATTGAAGACCTTTAACAAATAAGGGGATGTCATTTGACCCGCCTAATAGTCATTAAACGGGAGTACTGTTGATTGTACAAGACGGTCAAATTACTAAACTCTCTCTGTTTAAGGTTATCTACCTTAAGCAAGGGCAGTTTAGGTATTTTCAAATATTTTTCTTGTGGAGGTACGTGATTGAATTAAAAAGTAACTTT